CTCGTTTTCTCATTTCACCCTCACAATTCCTCGTTTCCTACATGAGAAACGGCAGACCAGAGAGGTTCGTACATGTGTCAGGATGCACAGTTTATCATGAGGGAGGACCGATTCAAACTTAGGCCTGGCTCCTTGTGAGGCACGTACGTAGTATGTACGTCTCCTTTGCATCATTTCCCAAACTGTGTACTCTTTTCTAAGTAAAAATTTCTAAGATAAGTCTTAGCAGCAGCCTTTGTTGCCCAAATGCTTGGCAGTACCTTGGTCATTTATTCTTCGCCATTCTTTTTTTTTTTTTATCCTCACCTGAGGACATTTTTCCATTTTTTTGTTCAGATAGAGTGGGAGAGGAAGAGAGAGAGAGAAACATCGACGTGAAAGGGACACATCAAGTGGCTGCCACCCATATGACCAAGCACGGCCGGGGACAAACTGTAACCGAGGTACGGGTCCTTAGCGGGAACCGAACCCGGGTCTCTCTGGACCGCAGGCCGACGCTCTAACCACTGAGCCAAACTGGCCAGGGCTCGCCTTTCTTGGTAGACATCAGAGTTTTCCCTGGTGGAAGCCCCGGGATGGCATATGTTCTCATGTCTTATGCCCACTGGACTTCTGGTTGGAACACTGTTTTCACCCAGGCCTGACCCGTCAGCTTCCCCAGCTGGCTGGCAATAGTGACAGAGGACCCAGCTCATCCCAGAGGCACAAGCAGGCCCCCCTCCTCCTCTTTTTTAGAGAGAGAGAGATAGAAACATCAATGTAAGAGAGAAACATCCATCAGCTCTCTGTTGCATGCCCCCTGCTGGGGATCAAGCACCAACCCGGGCATGTGCCCTGTCCGGGAACCGGACTGGGACCTCTCAGTCCATGGGACGGTGCTCAATCCACTGAGCCACACTGACCGCCCAGGCAAGCAGGGCCTTTTTGATTTGACCTAAATGCACCGGGCTTTACACACATGTTGGATTTGGCTACCAGGTGGTTTGTTGAAATGAAAGCAAGTCCCAGACAGAATCCTATCACACATCAGACACGTGTGTTAGGGAGAAGGCACAGAGCAGTCATACAGCCTGTTCCTGTACACTTGGGAACACCCCAGCTCTGTTCTGGGGCATGTGGACAGAGAGGCCAAGGGAGAACTGGCCCCTACCAGTCGGATCAATGGCCAGAGGATAGACAGCCTTCTAGAGGAGGCTGCAGTTGCTCATCTCTTGACCTGGGTGGTGGTGATGTCAGTATTTGCAAATGTGAAGTTTCACACAGCAGTCTGTGCCGTTAAGGTTTCTTCACTTTATTCTATGTAACTTATGCCTCAGTAAAAACAAAGGGGGAAATAAATTATTGTGATTTGGTGGTTCACAGTGGATGGGCAGGGGATCTATTATATTTTGTTCAAACCGGTAAACCCCTTAAGTTAGAGGTTTTCCATGGAAGGGCCACTGGGAGGGGTGAAGTCACACAAGGGCCTTCATTTGTGCCCACCTCGTCATCTCAAACACCCTAATTGGCAGCCGGGCCCTGGGCAAGATCTGTCTCCCTTCAGGGTTTTCTCTTCCCTGTTTCGCTAGGTCAGCACTGTGAAGTCAGCTAGATGGAGTGGGAGACGCCAGGCTTCTGTGTCACTCCCCTTCAAGGTCCTCTGTTTTGGGACTCCCATCAAGGTCTTCCCTCTGGTTACCCCCCAGGCCAGCGCACAGGTTCTCTAGGTTGGAGCAATAGCTGCCTCACTGCATGTGACCGCCTCCCCTCTGGGGCCACCGCTGCCTTCGTTCGTTATTCTGCCCTGGTTTACGCACATCCTTTCCCCAGCATTTTACTTCTTTTGTCCTTCAAGCTGCCCTTGGTAGTTCTAACAGAATATCCTATTGAGGCAGGAAGGTTTGGGGAATGAAACAGATCTATTTTCTTAGGCCATAATTCCAGTCTCACCCAGGATGGATGTGGGGAGGGGCTGTGGATTCCCACCCTTTCTTTTCCCTGGGTTGTGTGTGTGTGCGTGCACATGCGTGTGCAGACAGTGGTCTTGCAGGAGCCTTCACACTAAGCACCAGTTTAAAGGAATATAGCATTTGGCCTACTCACAGCCCCGGCCTTCGCACCTGTTGCCTGAGAAGTGAAGTTTGCCAGAGTTAAAAGATAAAGATGACCCCTTTTTATCAGTTGTCCCTACGACAGGTTATAATAGTGCTTCTGATTTCCCGGTTTCAGAATTCCTGGGACTCTTATTGTCCAAGTCCTCTTTCCTTTTCCTTCACGTGTCACATGCCACCTGGTCCCACACATACTGTCAGAATCTCAGCCTTAAAAAAAATACACAGGAACCCTTTGTTGTTGGTATCCCTGAATCACGGTGGAATCCGTTGTCATAGTGATGGCTGCCCCCTCTCCATTTTATCATTGAGGTTTCCATCAGTTTGTTTTGTTTCTTATCTTTCTCAAACAGCAACAGCCAACATGGTTATTAAACAAATCATTAATATGTCTCGACAGTTGTTAACTAGATTGTGTTTGCTTCTAACTTCAGGTACAGTCAGTCATGCCCCATGAGAAAAGCTAAGTTAATGAAGAGGCTGGTCCATTTGGATCCAATGCATAATGAAGATAGAGATTTGGGGGGTTTCTATGAAAGCGCATGGGACTTGAGTTCTATTACTACAGGTACCTTTACAGGTACCTTAATTTTATTTTCTGAGATTTTATTTTCCTTGTCTTGGTTTTAATTTATAGCTTTACCATACTTTTTTTTTTTTTAAGAACTAAGTGTTAGTGAAAGGCAGAGATTGGAGTTCTTAATAATTAACTAGTGTTTGTACAATATCTAGCTGTTCCTGGACCATTATATAACGCCCTTCTTTTAAAATATACTTTGTGAACACTAAGAACCGAATGGATTATATTTATTTATTCATTGTTAACATGCTTGGGAAAGTTGTAGAGCTTATTTGAAATTAGTTTGTCAAATAAAGGCCTGGCCTTCTGAAGCCCAAACCAGACACGTTGATCACCCTTAACTCAGGGCTGTGGATGAAGGCAGAGGTTCGCCCCTAAAAAGTGGCTGGGGTGCATGTGGCAGCCCAGCCAACACTCTGAGGGTGTCCCTGTCTCTTTCCTGGTCGATCTCTTCCCCACCACAGACACTGCTGTCTTGCAAGTTGATACTGTGCATGGAAAGGAATGGGATGTGCTCTCTCCGAGGTTTCCTAGTCCAGCTCCTCAGTTCTCTTAGGTCCCAGAGAGGCTGCAGAAGCTGTTATCACCTACCCGGCCCTAGGCATGCTAACTGCCAGCACCAATGTTAGAGGCCTGGGATCTAACCCAGATTCTGTCTCTCACCAGCTGCCTGGTTAGGCAAGTTACCTAACTTCTCAGAGACTCCGTTCCTTAGTTTTTTCCTCTGTAAAACAGAGATAATGCTTTCCCATTATGTTGATGAAATGAGACAATATGTGTGGGAGACCAACAAATGGTCATTGTTTTCATTACTAATCTACCCATAGATGGTAGGGGAAATTCTGCTGTCCACTGTGGTTTTTGTCCTACTGTGTTCGTTTTTTAGAAGACATCTCAAAAAACCTTTGGTAGAACAAATCTCCCACCCTACCCCATCCCCAAAAAGATTTAAAAAAATTGTTGTAAAATACATACAACGTAAAATTCACCTGTAAATCATTTTTATGAATGCAATTCAGTGACATTTAATACATTCACAATTTTGTGCAACCATCCCCATGATCTAGTTCCAGACCATTCGAATCACCCTGAAAGGAAACCCCATAGCCAATCACTACTTACATCCCATTCCTCAATTGCCCCAGCTCCTGGCAACCACTAGTTGGCCTTCTGTCTCTATGAATTCGACCACTCTGGACAGTTTATATAGACAGAAGCATACAACATGTGGTCTTTTGTGTCTGGCTTCTTTTATAGCATAACGTTTTCAGGGTTCATCCATGTTATGCATGTATCAGCACTTCATTCCTTTTAGTTCCTGAATAATAATCCATTGTATGGACATACTGCCTTTGCACTTTGGTCCGCTGCACCAAAATACTACAGGCTGGGTGGCTTACAAGCAACGGGAATCTCTCTCACATTCTGGAGGCTGGGAGTTCAAGATGAGGTGCCAGCATGGTCAAAGGGCCTTCTTCATGGTGCAGTTATTGTGCCCTCACCTGGTGGCGGGGCGAGGGAGGCCTGTGTGGTCTCTTTTATAAGGGCATTAATTCCATTCATGATGGCTCTGCCCTCATTCATGATGGCTAAAAAGCACCTCCCAAGGGCCCCATCTCCTAATTCCATCACTTTGGCCATTAGGATTTCAACATAGGAATTTTGGGGGAACACAGACATTTAGACTGTAGCATATACCATATGAAGTTTATCCATTCATTGGTTGATATACATTTGGGTTGTTTCTACCTTTGGTTATTGTGAATAGAATTGCTGTGGACATTCTTGTACAAGTTTTTGTTTGAACACTTGTTTTCAATTCTTTGGGATAAATGCCAAGGATTGAAATTGTTGGATCCTATGATAATTCTATATTTAACTTTTTAAAAAACTGCCAAACCTTTTTTGAACTGTGGCTGCCCATTTTACATCTCTTGCAGCAATGTCTGAGGGTTCCATTTTCTTTTAAAATTTGTTATTTTCTGTTTTTTAAATTGTATTATAGCTACCATAGTGGGTATGAAGTGGTATCTTGTGCTTTGGGATGGTTTTATAGTACTGGTTTTGTATGATTTTGGACTCAGACGTGTACTCCGCAGTGTCCCTAAGCCTGTCCTATTGCAAAGCTATGTAGAAAACCACCCACACGTGATTTCCAGTAAGAGGAAGGTGTAAAGCATCTTTTCCTTCACAGCCCTCGGTGTAGCTGAGCCTCGTGGCTCTGTACTCTGACCTGTAGATAAACCACTTGCAGACAATCAGTGGCTAATTATAGATAATGCCTGATGCCTCTGACCTGCTCTCTAATTTTTTTTTTCTTTTAATTTTAGGGACTTCCTCTGAGTCATCCAAAATGCTTTCAAAACACATTGGATAAGTGCTGAGCCACCTGCCTGTTTGGGACTTCCGTACACTCTGCTCCACTGTCTTCTGATGGCATTTTGACTGTATCGAGGCCACGTGACCCGCTGTTCATGATGAGTGATGAGAAGAACCTTGGGGTGTCCCCAAAACTGGTCTCCCCTTCAAGGAGCCCCAGTAGCTGCTCCTCCAAGCAGGGAAGTCGGCAGGTAAAGTTCTAACTAATGCGACTTTTAAGATGCGGATGTAAATCAGGAAGTTTGTAAGTTAAAGTGTGTATATTTACTCGAGAACGCCTTCTTCACAGTTTAAGAGCGTTTGCTCTCAGTCGTATCTTAATTATACAAGAAGAGTACATTTTAGATGATATTAATAATGCAGCTTGAGTGCCTACCAGCTGGAGAGAACTGTATTTGGCTCTCTGCATTACTTTACTCGATCCTCACAACTGTCCTCCAACACAGATATTAATATCTCTGTTTTCTCCCGAGGAAGCTGAGTCAGACCGACAGAGTTATTTTCTTAAGAGCACACAGCTAGTAAGTGGGAGAGCAAGGAACCAAAGCTTAGTCTTGTTTGACTCCGGTGCCCACACTTTCATTTATACCCTACTAACCAAAGCAAAAAAACAATCGCTTTTCCAATAATTATAATACCCTCCCACCCTCTTCTTCCTCCCCTTCACTGAAACTTTTGTGATGCCTCCCAACCACAGGCTGCCCTGGCGCTAGCTGGAGCCCACCTGCTCTGCTCTCTAATGGATGAGGGGCACGAATCAACAGAGCAGTGGTCCAAAGAAATTAAGTAGGAAGAAGAAAGAAATGAAACAAAAGACTGAATAATTAACTCCCAAATAACTGTCAGCTAATTATAGGTTGCTTTTCTGGTTTCCTTCCTAATAAACCACTGTTGGCAGAGTCTGCTGGTCTTAGATGCATGGCAGCAAATACACATTGATCATTATAATTTTTATACCTTCGGTAAGCAGAGAGACCGTGGGCTGCCCAAAAGCTCCGGGTTTACAACCAAAGTGCCGTCTGGGCATTTTCAGTATTTTTGGGCTCTGTTGGCTTTGCCAATCCCCCGTGGGACACGCTGGCCTAAGAACTGGCCCAGAGATCTCGGTTCCAGATTTGGAAGCAACGACCCAGCAACCTCCCACCTCAGGCACGTCCACACATTTATGACACATCATCACGGGTCTCTCCACTGGAACACTGCCCGGGACAGGGAGCTTGCCGCCGCACAATTCTGCCTTGTGTCATTAGAATCTATGTATGGTGGCACACCAGTGTGCTGCAGGACTCTTTAAAACATGCAGGACCCGACTATTTAGTCAGGCGCTCTGGCCTCTTTTCCCATAGATTGTCAAATAAAAAAGTGACAACGGCCACACAACAACAGCCCTCCAGCCATGTCTCGAACCATAAATGCATAAGTTGTATAATAGAGTTGCATCTTAATGGTCACTTTGCATAATAAGGTTGTGTCTGATTGGTTAATTCTTAGTACCAGACATCCTTATGTACAGGTATAGGCATCTGATTTTTTTTTTTTATCCTCACCCGAGGACATTTTTCAATATTTTGTTGAGATAGAGTGGGAGGGAGAGAGAGAGAGAGAGAGAAACATCGACGTGAAAGGGACACATCGAGTGGTTGCCACCCGCACAACCCAACCAGGGCTGGGGACAAACTGCAACCAAGGTACGTGCCCTTTGCGGCAACCGAACCCTTGTCTCTCCAGACTGCAGGCCAACGCTCTATCCGCTGAGCCAAACCAGCCAGGGCTGATTTTTTTTTTTAAGTCACTTTGAAGCAAAAAGGGGTAAGTAAATTATTATTATTTATTTTTTTGATAAACCAATCAAAATTGTACCTATTATTTTTGTCAGATCAGCAAAAACACATTTTTTGGTGTGCCACAGAATGTTAGTCATTAGTTTGTGTGTGCCAGGAGATGCATTCGATTTGGCCACAGGCCTGACATGTGGGGAAGAAGAAATTTTTCAGCACAGCCGTCTCTTCCTGCTGGGATTAAAAAAATGACTAAAAAGAGTCTGTGACTGATGCCCAGTGGCTCCCGCGAGTTCCATTTTTGTGAGGGTAGCTATGTTCTCCCCCTTTGTCAGCTTTCCAGGTGGGACTTTCTCTCTCTACGCCACATTTCTGGTTGGGGTTAGAGCCGAATGAAGTTCCCCTCCCATCTTTGTCCCTGGTAGCATCTATTGTGTCCTCATTGGACAAAGGGGGAGAACATGATTCACTTAAGCCAGAGCTGGTAACCATAGGAATTAGAGCAGTGGCATGAAATTCTCGGACTGAACACTACAGAAACTTTGGGGGGGGGGTGTTATTTGAAATTGATTGATTTCGTTTTCATAGAGCTTTTTCTGAGGTTACATCCTAAAGAATAAGAGAAATGTGTTTGATGCCTCGGCCTTTTCTTAGAATGGTTGGTCATTCACCTATTCATTTATCAAATGATCATCTTTTATTTTTAGGATCTCCTACTTTAATGTGCATGTAATGTTGCTTTATAAACACAAAGACTTATTTTTCCTCTGTGGCGTGGATATAAATGTTTTTCACCCCCCACCCCCACCCCACCCATCTCTTGGCAGTAGCTGCCAGGAGCACCGTGTTGAGAAGGGTTGTGCGGTTGAGACTGGGTGCAGTGGAAAGTGCCACGGTGCTAGCTGTGGCTCACGGGCGGAGGCAGGCTGAGTGGCAGCACAGGTGCCACATTTGTTACCCCTTAGTGACGTTAGAGGGTTGACATCAAGAGCTCTCTGCCACAGTCTTGATATTCGGCTTGTGGAGGAGCGTCAGACAAGTGCAGTTTGCCTCAGTTCTCCAGTGGCCTGGTTTCAAGACATCCACACCCTGCGGAAGAATTGGATCTTGGAAGTAGACATCCTTCAGATCTAGTGCCTTTACTGGGTAGGAACCTATGCTTATTGCAGAAAATCCCCGAGAGGAAGCAGCTTGCACAAGAATAGGTTGTTGGTGGCTTCTGACTGTCTTAGTCATACCTCGTTATTTGTAGTGTCCCAGGTCGATCTTTGCTTCAGTGCTCTTCTCCCTCCCAGGCTTTGGCTCAACTATCACTTTAGCTAGATTGATCCACATGAAATTGAATCTTGTGATTTTCTTGAGAAGTATCTTCATTTACTGCTTTAACACTTTAAAGATGATTTTTTAATAAAAATAATATATGCTCACCACAGGTCATTTTCAAAGAACATGCAATATATGTGAATCGCAATACTATTAATTAATTTACTTTTAAATGACTGCTGACAGGTCCAATAAAAGGAAGCCCGAGAATGAACTGCTTGTTGAGGTCATCTGTGACATTGCTGAGTGGTTTCCTTTGAGTGGTGGATGTGAAAGGCTGGTTAGAGTCTGTTCATGAGAGAACAGGAGCAGAGAAACAGGGCACCCCAATTCTACCAGGCCCCCCAGACAGGATTTGAGAGAAGCCTTCACAGATGTTCTGTTTGGGAACCTTGAGTTTGGCTAAAGCCATGCTTAACACTGCCCTCCTCTCTCCCCACGTGTTACTTCTCTTTGATTTAGCCATTGGTGGAAAGAGTATATGACTCTTTGTGTCCTGGGTCCTAATTATGCATCTTTTTAGCTTTCCTAGTACAAGGCAGATGCAAATTAGTGGGCTCAACGAACTGAATGCCAGCAGCAAGTGTCCCTCCGTTAGAAAGGGGAGGATGTGTGGCTGGGTGCACATGTGGAATGGGAATGAGAAACTCGGATTCCTCAGCTCCCTCACTCCAGGGACATATTGTGAGGATTTTAAAAAACACCGAGTCTCTTCTGATGAATGCTGATGTAATCCCTAAGTGATGATGTAATCCTTAAATGCTGTGCATGCCTGTGGTCTCTGAATGAGCTACTCTGTTGGAACCTTTGGGACAGGAGTGAAGACTAGCTTTGTTGACACCTGTATTCACACCGGCTCTGCTTGTTGCTAGCTGGGCGATCTTGCCACGTTATATAAAACCTCTGAGTCTCAGTTTGCCAGTTGTGAAATTTAGATAAGTGTGCTTCCTTTTGAGAACTAAGTGGAATAATAAATATGAAGTACCTAGGCTAGCAGATGGTAGACATTCGGTAAGTGTGGATTAAATCGATGCGTGAAGAAGCATGCAGTTGCTAGGTAAAAAATTACTATTCACAAAGCTCTGTAGACACATGAAGTAGGTTAAGGGGTGTCTAAGTGGGACAGGCATTGCTATTTAAAAACTTGTACAATATGAGTAATTACAGTTTCCTGTTGCTGTTTCCTACTGCCCCCTTTCATTTCTTTCCTAGAATGTTCACAGTAGCACATTTCAGAAGCCAGACTGAGCTAAAGATGAATGAGTAGGTTTTATGTTTATTGAAAGAGTCCTATATGCCCTAAACTTCATTTCTTCGACCAGTGTCTATTCAGAACCTACTGTTAAAAGACTGGGCAGGGAGATTTGACACTACAAAGGATAGGAAGCTGAGCAGACCGCTCCGAACAAATAGTCAACTCTGCTTGGAAGACTGTGGGTTGTGAAGAGAGCACGGTCTCCGTCCTTTTCCCGCCTCTGTTTCTAGCATTTTTTATATAAGTCAGAAATCAGAAAGTGAATCCTACTAAAGTAATTGACAAGTGCTTAGTTCATGATTACAAGGGATTTGAAATGGAAAGATCTATTGCCAGGTAAGTCTCCCTACAGTTATGCAATTTGTTCTTGTCACCCTCATGTCCCTGGGCTAATCTGAGGTGGCCTTTGAGCCTCCCAGGTCATCCGTGAGCATTTATGCCGGCTATTAGATGATGCAGCACTCCCGGGAGCTCAGGCTGGCTGGGCTTGCTGCCAGGGCCCATAAGACACAGGAGCTGAACGAGAGAGAATTTGCCAAGAAGAGAAAGTGAATGAAAGCTGTAATGCTCAGGTATTTATAATCCCAGCCATCTGGGTATTGAAAATACTTAGTCCTGTTTATTTTATTTTTTTTCAATTCATCATGTCTTCGGAGACAGCATTTGCCAGCTGCCTTTTGTAAGTATGGGCTAGATAAACACTTTTGAGAAAGGCCAGCCAAGGAGGAGGGACTTGGGAATGTCATAATTTGTCACATTGTTCTTTGATGGTCACAGAAGATGAAAGGCAATGAGTATGAACTCGCTTGGGAGCCAGATGGCTTGAGTTTAAATC